TATTTTAAAGTAACTAAAAGCAATTTGAGGTACATATGAATATTTCATCCGAATGTTCGCACACACATCTTGATATATCTTGTGAAAACATCGATATTTCAAATTGGTAAAGGGTAAACAGGTTTTTTAAAAAGGCCTACAGGGTGATTGGGGGTGGTAGCCTAACCTATTCACACCACCATCTGCACATGCTCTAATATGAATATGTCTGAGTTTGAAGTTCTGTTGATGAACTGTTGCCTACTAATCTAAATGTCAGTTCTGGTCGGATTGCTCAGTGATGGATAAGTGTATATGTGTGCACGTGGAGTGTTCCGAAAAAATGCACAGACTGCAAAAGCAAAACAATCAGTCGAACTTGTTTCCACACACGCCGGTGGAGAATACGCACACGCGTGTCCTATAAAGACACAAATCATTTACATGTTCGTCTCATCAAAGGCAGCTCCGCTCATCTCCACCGAGATTTTCCGCCGATCAGAGTGCTCCGGTTGCATCTCCAAGCGCGACGAGCTAACCTTTGCGACTGCCAAGAAATTTGATTATTTTTTAAAATACAGCTGTTGACCTATTATTGAGAAGGAGAGACGCCACAGGAGACACTCCGCGCGCCCACTCTGTCATTATGGAACGCGTTATTCCATCAGTGTTTACAAGTTCGCGCTCAAAAAGAAACACGCACGCGGAAAAGAAGCGGTAAATCAAAATAATTCCACAAATGCTGTTCTGGGCCATTTTCTTCAACAAAACGCCAATCAAACAAAAGCCCGTGGAATCATCCTTTCAGAATTAGCCTTTGAGATTAAAATAGTAACAACAATAGAGAAACAATCACTCTGAAGCGTTTGAGTAGCTTGTTAATGCGCTCATGAATAAATTATGCTAGAGATAATGGGTTTATGGTCAATAATTCATCCTAGTGTTTCTAGCTCTGCTCTATAATATGTGAAATGTAAATATAAGGGCATGTACTTCACGAAAATAGCTTAACAATGGTAGCCTACTTAAAATGCGCCAAACCTGTATTAATTTAAAGTTTTCGGAGTCCCTTTTGGTATTAACGTAAGGCATCTTTCTATTAGTTGAGTTGAGCTCTTTGCTAGCTCTAAATTCTATATAAAGAAACAATGCCTTATAAAAGCTACTGAAACCTGTAAAAAATAAATATAAAAATTAATAAAATCTTAAAATGCCATTGACATTTTTCCCAGTTATTAAACATTTTAGCAGGTAGCCTATAGAATTTGAGTTATCAATTCCATTTTATTAATCTAAATTTTTCAAAATCCAGTAAACAACAAACAACTAGAGAAGTGGGCCCTTCAAATCTTATCTTGGACAATGGGGGCTCCTAGAGTCAAAAAGTTTGAGAACTACTTTAGGCATTAAAAATGGCATTATTCACCTAAAATGCTCATTGAAACAAGGATTGATGAGAAGTTCTCTTTAAAAAGTACTTGCTAGAGCACAAAACCCTCTCCGAATTGACAAGCATGCGAGTGGGAGTGAACTGCCCTGAAATTCACTTTGTAGGTCAGACTTGTACACTTGCCCTTCATCGAAAAATTAATTCACTCTGTTGTGAGCACTTGTACACTTTTCCATCCAAATTGGAACAGGACCACAAATGTCCAATGTAGCAGGGGCAGGTCACACCTCAGTGGCACATATGAACACGGTCAGAACACATCCCAAACGGACTGATGTGTTGACAGATCTTCTGACATGACCCAGATGAATCCCCAACACCCTGCAGTACCCCCTCAGAATCAGTTTGGCCTGTTGACTGGCCTGATTCAACCAGCTGGGACGTCTGGAGTCAAGAATCACACTGGTGGTTCAAGAGGAGAAGCAAGGGCCAGCTGGATGTGAGAGAAAGAGGGGACGAGGACAGTCACCAGCCTCATGTAGCATTCCCCTTACACTAGTGACAACACGGAAAATGCGAGAGGAAGAGAGAGCGAGATGGCCCTTGAACAGACACAGAGACTGGCCCTGAGGAACTAACTAGAGAGAAATGCCAGACAGAGTGAAATATGATGTTTTCACTTTGTCAAAGGATTTTCCGACTCCTACAGAGTCATCTTATGAATGTAGCCTATTTAGTTTTAAACTCTGCCAGGGATGTTGATTAAATGTTTTATCAACCAACAGATGAATCAGTTGTGCATTTGCATTCTGGTGGAGGAAGCATGTTCAGGGGGGGGTTGGAGAGCATCAGCGAGAGAGAAACAGAAAAGGAGAGAGCAGGCTATAAGTAAAAGATCTCTGGCAGCCAACAAATGCAGAACAAAAGAAACAATTTGCATACAAATCAAAGTTTTATCATCTCAGTCTCCCTATGCCTGTTGTGCATTCATAAGCGCAGTTGCATTCAAAGCCCTGAGAGAACAGGACACCTCTATTCGCTGATACAGGCCAAATGTTGATTTCATCATATAAAAGGAGGAGGGAGAAAGAGGTGAGAGAGGCACAGCCAAACAGACAGAGAGAAATGAAGAGAGAACGAGACAAGTGAAAATGGTTTCCTTTCTGTTTACGGTCCCGAGCATGAAATGAGATGAACACGCGCATCACAGTCAAATGAACATAACGCTCTCTCTCTTTCCACTGGCAAACACTCAGCAATAAAAAATTAACTCCTCTCAGTGCAAGAGAATTGACAGGTGAGATATGCAGTAGAAATCCTTTTTGAGAGCGTTCAGCCTGTTCGATTGCAATGCTAAGTCCTCCAGCTTTCTCCTATAAAGAGATCACATCAATATACTGTTGACATTAATCCCTCCAATGGAGAAAAAGAGAGACGTCAAGAGGAGTTAGAGGAAATCCAGGGGCGAACTGCAGGGCCAGGCCTGCTGAAGCTCAATAAACCCCACTGAGGACACATCAAAGTATGTGAAGGCTTATGTCTACCACCAGAGGGCACACTTACTAAGGTTTTGATTCACAGATTCCTCACACTATTTTGGTAACATTAATACCAATGTTATTATCTTGTGATTTCCATTATTTACTAATTAGTAATAGAAACATTCAGGTGCACTTTATAGGTGACCACAAACTACAAATGTGGTGCACTGCAGTATCAAAAAGACTGTAAAACCAAAAGGCTGCTATACACAAATACAAATCACAAATTACTCAAAATAACAGCTCATACCTAGACTTAAATGTTACAGAGAAAAGAATAATAATCTCAGGCTTTAATTTTTGAAATTAGTCCAGAGAGAGAGATACAGGCCCAATTTTTTATATATACAGAGTAGCAGAGAACACTTATTTTTAATATATAAAAAAATAATAAAGGGCAAAATGTGGGCCATTTTAGAATGATGCTGTGAAACTTTTAAAGGGGTCATATGATGCTGCTAAAAAGAACATTATTTTGTGTATTTGGTGTAATGAAATGTGTTTATGTGGTTTAAGGTTCAAAAAACACATTATTTTCCACATACTGTACATTATTGTTTCTCCTCTATGCCCCGCCTTTCTGAAACGCGTCGATTTTTACAAAACTAATCGGTCTGAAAAGCGAGGTGTGCTCTGATTAGCCAGCTATCCAGTGCGTTATGATTGGCCGAATACCTCAAGCGTGAGACGGAAAGGAAAAATTGAAATCGCATCATATGACCCCTTTAATTCCATCATGTATTCTCATGACTACGCCACCAGAGGGAAGACCTTTCCTTTCTTTGAATCATTGAACTCGGTCAAGCCTGTCTGTCAAAATCATTAAAAACATGAGAGTACATGAGAACTTTTACTAATCAAACAGATAAATACTCAAAATAAAAACTTGTTCTAGACGGTACCAAGTGAGTGTTCCCGGGCTTAGCAGAACAATAACAATAGCAGAACCCTTTTTGGTGCTAAATAGAACCCTTTTTATAAGATTCTATGAAGAAGCATGCTTTGAAAGTACTATATAGGACCTTAATATTGTTATAAATAACTTTTTTAATAATATATTATTTTCATTAATATTAGTATATTTGTATTATTAATATTATTTATATCATTTTTATATATATTATTTATGTTTTTTACCCCTCTATTTGCCTGTTCTTATCTTGTATAGCCTCTATTAGGGTTTTGAATACATTTACATTTTAGGTTGCTTAATAAAACAGAAGTTGTGTCAATTAGGTACTGATTGATTGATTGATTGATTGATTGATTGATTGAAATGTGACATTTTTAAAAAAATAGCAAGTGCTCTAACAACAGTTATAAGTACTTCAATAAATGACAGCCAACACTGAACATGAATAAATGCATAAAACAAGAATTAAAAACAAAAAAAATAGATGAATAGAAAGTTGCAGTAAAATATTTGCACAATCTGCCTTTAAAGGGATAGTTTGCCCAAAAATGAAAATTTTATGTTTATCTGCTTACCCCCAGGGCATCCAAGATGTAGGTGACTTTGTTTCTTCAGTAGAACACAAATTATGATTTTTAACTCCAGCCGTTGCAGTCTATCAGTCGTATAATGCATGGCAATGGTAACAAAATCTATGAGAGTAAAAAAAACATGCACAGACAAATCCAAATTAAACCCTGCAGCTCGTTACCATTGCCATGCATTATACGACTGATAGACTGCAACGGCTTGAGTTAAAAATCATAATTTGTGTTCTACTGAAGAAACAAAGTCACCTACATCTTGGATGCCCTGGGGGTAAGCAGACAAACATAAAATTTTCATTTTTGGGTGAACTATCCCTTTAAGTCCATCATTATGTGTGTATTTTGGTGTAATTGAATGGCAGTTTCTCTCTGCAGATGATGAGGTTGTGGGATGTGACAGCATCTGAAATGCAGTGTCTCTCTTCCATTTGTTTATGTAAAAACAGTTTTCTTTTAAGAGAGCAATATTTCCCACGAATCGTTTAGCCACGTTTGGTCCCAGTTCAGGCCACAGCCAACTCGATAGCTACTGCAAGGTTTCAGCCCAGTTGTTGAGCAACAGACAACCAATCATAAACTATACAATTCTTACCTCTCTAAATGATCATGTGTTTTCTTTGTACACTCAGATGAACTTTCAGGCGCTGTTTAGTTTCAGAATCTGACAGAAAAATACTCCCAAAGTGACAGCAAACAAGTTAACTGGAATCAGCAGTTGATTGTTTTTGCTGTATTCATTTACAGGAATTCACTCGCTGGAGGACGCTGTGCTGTTTGTTTCCAGCTGCTGCGGTAAATCACTTGCTGCACTCCCATTGGTAGTCGCTGTATCTTCACTGTGCTTGTTACTTTGTCACATCTGAAATGAGGTCTAGTCTCTTCGTAGCTGTAAATCGGTATGAACTCCCGTTTAGGAGATTTAAAACAGCAAGAGAGGAAAGACTTTGCCACTTTCGCAAAGATACACTTAACAGCCATTAAAACAGTATTCGACGATTCGTCCAATCAATGTCATGACCTCATAAATATGCAAATTATAACGTTATGCCTTGGTTTGCAAATGTACAGTGTAAACTCTTGAGAATAACCAGGGCTTAATTATTTGCCCAGGGTAAAATGTGAACAGTGTGAAACATGAAACACGAAAACTCAGAGTAAAGAACACAATTTCAAGTGTTTAAAACCGGCTGGCCTAACTTAAAACTTAAAGCCTCTCTGAGTGTCTCCATGATGCGCTCGCGCGCTCGCTCCCGCTGGCGTCTCCTATTTCACAGCTCTCCCAAATTCTTGGATCTGGAGGCTGCGCAGTCTCAGCTCAAGCCCCAGCATCAGAAAAGTGCGTGTGCAAGCAGAACCTATTCCACAGACCACGAAAGCAGGATGTGTCGCTGAGGAAAAGAAAGAACGTTTGCAGTGCAGTCAGAGAAACTTGGAGCTCGGAGAACACGTCGTAAAGGCCTGTTCCTAACCTTATTTTCAACACACGGACATCTCGGAACCGGACCAAAATGATGTGCTTTAAGTTTTTCGGCTGTAGGCATGTTGTCCTCAAAGTTTTCCTCGTACAGTTTCTTGCTTCCTTGCAAACTTTTGCTGCGCCCTCACCCATCATAAAGTTTCCAGGCGATGATACTTCTTTCACAGACAAAGAAGTGGCTCTGGTGAGTGCATTTTCATGTCGCTGAAAGAATAAAGCAGGTCGTTAGTTAGCAAGCTTATTATTTTTTCTTGGATAGGCCTACGTATAATAATTATTTCCTTTAACAAACATATTTATAATCAATTTGAAATACGTTTTTTGTTTGTTATTTCTATATATTATTGTTGGGTCCCTCAGAACTTTAACTTCAACATTCTTCACAATTGTATCATTTTAAGTATTTGCACAGTATTTAACTTCCAGCCTTTATTCACTGTTGCAATATCTATGGAAAATGTAAAACACAAGTACACTATGGCCCGGTTTCACAGACAGGGCTTAGACTAAGCCAGGATTAAGTTTTAGCTCAATTAGGGAATTTGAGTAGCTTTTATAAATGTGATTTAGAAAAAAAACATTACTGGTGTGCATCTTGAGACAAAAGAATAACACTGACAAATTTTAAGATATGTCAGTGCAACTGGCTTTCAGTTAAAACAGCTCAAACATGCATTTTAGTCCAGGACTAGCTTAAGCCTTGTCTGTGAAACTGGGGTTATATGTTTACATGGTGGCTTGGAAAATGTGTGTTAAACAGTTCCAGTAAAGTTGACACCTCTCTCTCTCTCTCTCTCTCTGTCTGACTTTCATTGTATCCTTACTAATCTTTTTTACAGCACTACTTAAATAAGTTCTATGGCTGCCCAAAAGACAGGTGTAATCTGATGGTGCTGAAGGACACACTGAAGAAGATGCAGAAGTTTTTTGCTTTACCTGAGACAGGAGACATTGACCAGAAGACAGTAGAGATCATGAAGAAACCACGATGTGGAGTTCCTGATGTGGCCAATTACAATTTCTTTCACAGGAAGCCCAAGTGGGGACAGAAAAACATTACCTACAGGTGTGTGTTTTATACCTCAGACAATGCTGAGCTAAGTCTCCTTACTGTTTGTCAGTCACTTTAACCCTTTAATATATATTTACAATCCTGTCAACACCAATGATTCAATATTAAAAATGTGATATTTTGTTAGTTACAGAGCAAGAAGTTTTGTGCTTACAAAAAAGATTTTAAAAAGAAACATATGTATCATATTTGTGTGTCAGTAAGCCGTTCAAAACAAAAGAGTGCACAATCATCATATCTTTAAAGAATGTTCCCTGCGGGACCTTTGTGGCTATGTTGGAGGTGGAGCTTAAAAAGGAACAACAAATCTAAATTTATTAGGTTATAAAGTTGTGCTGACTACAGGAAATGCAAGAGATGTTTGGCCATGAATGAATATTTACTGTCATTGAAGGAATTGGCCAACAATCAAACACAAAACAAGTGATCAATAGTCTTTTGTAACAAAAAGGACAGAGTTGGGATCTTGAGGATATTTACTGGCCTACATGTCCTCACAGTGTTTAAATGAGTCATGACCACAACTATGTTGCTTTACCAGTAAAGTTTTCAGGCTCCCTACACAGATTTGTGGAAGAAATGGCTCAGCCATTAATTTTCTGCCAGTGTCAGCTTTGCTAATTTAACAGATATTTAGATTTAGAGCCTTCATAAAGAAGTTTATATTAAGCCTAGCTCCTCATTAAATGTTAATTAATATTAAACAGCACAGTTAACGTCAATAATAATTGCAATAAAAATTGTACAATCAGGTTGGCATTTGCAGACAGTTTATCATTCCCGAATGTGCTGTTCTGTACATTAAGTGAAGCTGTGAAGCTTCCTACTTATGAAACTGTAACTGTAACTCTGATTCTCTGTCACAATTGGTTTTCAGTTTCAAACCTAGGGATGCTCTCTTCAGTATGTTAATATTCAAATTTATCATGCTGTATTGAGGTTACATCTAATTTTCAGAACTCATGTTTTACAGTTTTGCCCACTGGAAATTTTTTGGAAAGACATTTTTTCAGTATTTCATCGGCTGAACAGATTGTACTTTTATCCCTCACAACCTTTTCATTCATGTAAAATTAAAGGTTTGGTTCACCCAAAAATGGAAATTGCCATCATTTACTCACCATTATGTCATTCCAAACTTGCTTGACTTTCTTACTTTTGTGAAACATACAATGTCCATACAATGAATGTCAGTCGTCACAAAACAACATTCTTCAAAATATCTTCTTCTGTGTTCCAGCATGCAGGTTTTGGATGACATGAAGATGAGTAAATAATGAATGCATTTTTATTTTGGGGCGAACTGTCTCGTTAAAGAAGTTCTAATCTGACTAAGGTCCATAGGCTCACTATTTTGCAGGTTGACTTGTAGAATGCCATTAGCTATTTTTCCATCCAAAGATTCAAATTAAACTTATGCGCAAAACTGGAATATCGCATAAAACATATGCGAATAAAGCACCGTTTCCATCCAACGAGTCAAAGAGAACAAAATCGTCACTTCCTGGTAAACTGTGGCACTAAATATCACTAAGAATATAGGAGAAGCCACTGAATATAATAATTTTCATATATGATTTTCATTATTTGCATTATCTGCTTGCAGAGCGAGCAGACGTAACATAATAAATGCTGTCAATGCTTTAGGAGGTGGATGCTGCTGTTTGGGAACGTAGTCGTGTAAGACAATTATACAGAAATACTTTGACGACAGACTTTGCTCAGGCATTTCAGAATGACCATAACAACATATAGATCAGGGATGGGCAACTTTGATAGTGACGAGGGCCAGCATTTTTTCTCCTTTATACCAAGGGGCCAGATTACTAATCCACGTCCACACACCTTTTACACCGTTTTACTCAATTTCCTTTTTATTGAAGGAAATTAAAGTATAATTAATGCTGTACAGGACATCCAGACATAAAACTGTGGCATGTATAGTTACAGAGATATTCACTAAAATATAATGTCCTCATATGAGGATGCAGGGTCTCAGGAGGTTAAATAACAGATTTCCAAACAATCCAAACATATAAGTATCCCCTTGAACTTGTAAAAAAGATAATCTGTTTACCATCTTGACTGGAAATACTGTTTTCATGGTCAGTTTTTCATTTATTATTTGCTAAAGTTAGCGAATGTTTACAGAGTTCACGTCCTACTGCGCTGAAATTAATACGGGGGGCGGCTGGAAACGAGCAACCTCTCCTGGTTGGAGATAGTATTAACATTATAAACTGAAAGCAATCTTTACGTGACTTACTTTTCAAATATTTTAAAACTGATCATCCGAGTCTAATATGATCCAGCGGGCCGTACTGAAAGACATTGCGGGCCCGCCAGTTGCCCTTCCCTGATATAGATGCTGTGAACGAGATCGGTCCACTGCTAGTCAAGTTATCCCGTCCCATAGCCTTTTTCGATGCGCATGGAGGAATTTATTCGGTAAATGTGTTTCCATCGTAGTTTATGTACATTTTTTCTTAGCGGATAAAAAGTTTATCCTACTCAAATGTGCGCATAAGTTTTTTATGCACATTTTTAGAATTTATGAGCATCTTGGCGTTTCCATCCAGCGTTTTTTTTATGCGATATTCCATAAAAATAGGTGGATGGAAACGCAGCTAATGTCCTTGTAGATTGTGCTGTGGTTTGGTACTAGAAAGTAGCATAACTTTAGTATTTCATGTGATTAAGATACATGCTCTAATAACTGCCACAAGTTCAGTTAGCATTTGCTATGTTTCCATCGTAGTTTATGCGCATTTTTTCTTAGTGGATAAAAAGTTTATCCTACTCAAATTTTTAGAATTTATGAGCATCTTTGCGTTTCCATCCAGCGTTTTTTTTAATGCGATATTCCATAAAAATAGGTGGATGGAAACGCAGCTAATGTCCTTGTAGATTGTGCTGTGGTTTGGTACTAGAAAGTAGCATAACTTTAGTATTTCATGTGATTAAGATACATGCTCTAATAACTGCCACAAGTTCAGTTAGCATTTGCTAGTTGCTTTAATAACTGTGCACCTGCAAAGAACATTAAGCGTTTCATGAAGTTCTTTCATTTAAATATACAACCTAGGCTGCCAAACAATGGCAAGAGCTCTGATGAGCATTCAGCCCCATTGATTGTGTTGTAATGATGGCTGCACGGAAAGCTCCTTGTAGTCATTGTACATTGTAAATGGCTGTCTTTTGTCAGAGGCTAGCAGTATCATCTGTGTATTCCAGGGTGGTCAGAATTACAGTGTTTCACCTCATGCTGTTCTGGGACTATTGAAGAGCTTCTCTTACTGACTATTAGTACAGAACCTTTTTAGTTTTTTGCACCTGCCAAATTTGTTTGATGTTGCTCTATTTTTCTGTAGGGGCCATTTCAGACTGCCTTATAATGCCAGAACAGGTTTGGATTTGACAGTTCTGGTTTTGGTTTGAAGCGGAGATCCCTCCTTAGGAGAATGAAACCAGACCATGCTGCACACCAGCAGGTGATCAGTGTAACCAGCTGTCCTCTGATCGCTGTGTGTGAGTGATCTGTAATAGCTTGATGATGATTGGACTGAGCTGGGAGCTTGGACATCCCCATGTCTCTTTGTAATGCAAAAAAAGAGTTGGTGGCAAACTATTGGGAGGGAAAAAGCATAGCAAAGAGCATGGAAGCATCCAAAGGTTTACTGCATATGATACTCGAGTTTGATATTGCCATTGTGGAACATGACATAACATTTAAAAGTACATGTTAACTCAAGTGTAATAAACCGTTCTCTGTTATCCTTTTTAACCCGAAAATGACTGATTCTCGTGCCGGTGTGTCTCCGAAATCTGAGATGGCGATGGGCTGCTGTTCTCCATCTGTCAACACTTACGTTCTTCCCGGTGTAACGGCCACTAGAGTATTTACAGTAGTTTTGTGGCAGCATAGCGCGTGTCTGTGAAGAGATAATCTGCTCTACCGACTTTTGTCTGACTTTATTTTATTTCCCTCCTTTTCTGTGTGTGACCTGAGTTTGATACTTGTGTACATTTTTCCTCACTTGATCCCCATGTATGTGGACAAGTGTGTTGGTGCTTGAGGCATTTTTATTAAACCCGGGAAAAATACGCCATTTTCTCGTCTCCCGTGAATTATTCTCCTCCAGCACCACACAGTTTTCCCATCTGGGCTATTGAACATTTCAACTCAGTGTTACACCGGGAGTCTTCTCCCACCACCCTCCCATAATTTGAATTGCCCAAACCTCGTTATTTGAATAATCACATCAATATATTATTCCAAGGTTGTCCAGTCGCCAGTTCTTATATGAAACACATCTTACTCACACAATGGACACATCATACAAATTTCAACCCATTTGTGACCTCAACCTGGTAACCTTCAACCCAGTAGCAGACGCAAGAAGCAGAATCAAGCATTACTGGTAGAAATGGGAGAAGACTCAGGTGGTGCTCAGGTGGGAAAAGGAGATAGCAGAGGCTATTTACACTAACTCCGCCCACCAACGTGTGGTTGGGTTACACAAGATTACAAAAGACACCTTTCATACGACGACTCCAGTGGAAGTAGGTAATAAAGGGCATAATTTTAGCAGTTATTTTTTTGACGTGATCTACCCGAGTTCGCATCCGCCTTTTGCCGAACTCATTCTTCTCCCTTTTCACGTCGGAAAGGAATTTATTTTCAATAAAAATGAAGGAAATATTCGAAAAGTGGAAAATAAGGTGGCTCACAGATGATTATTGGTTAAGGTTAGGGTTAGTGTAGTGTCCAGTTGCCAGTTCTTATATGAAACACATCTTACTCACACAATGGACACATCATACAAATTTCAACCCATCTGTGACCTCAACCTGGTAACCTTCAACCCAGTAGCAGACGCAGGAAGCAGAATCAAGCATTACTGGTAGAAATGGGAGAAGACTCAGGTGGTGCTCAGGTGGGAAAAGGAGATAGCAGAGGCTATTTACACTAACTCCGCCCACCAACGTGTGGTTGGGTTACACAAGATTACAAAAGACACCTTTCATACGACGACTCCAGTGGCGTAGGTAAAAAAGGGCATCATTTTATGTTGTTATTTTTTTGACGTGATCGACCCAAGTTCAAATCCACCTTTCGCCGAACTCGTTCTTCTCCCTTTTCACATCACGTATCACATCGGAAAGGAATTTATTTTCAATTAAAAAAAAAAATGAACAAAATATTCGAAAAGTGGAAAATAAGGTGCCTCACAGATGTTTATTGATTAAGGTTAGGGTTAAGTGTAGGGATGGCTTTATTGTCCCAAAGTGGCATGCATTTGATTTTAATAAAAATTATGTACACTCAATACGTTATTGCATACGGTTTTATAATGTGCTAGTTCGGTGCAGATATCTGGCACTATTTGCACCAAGTAGTATAAACAGTATTTAACTACAATTATTGCAAAGAAAAGAATCTATCGCTATTTGCACTTGGTGAAAATAGCTTATTGCTAAAAAATACTGCCATTTTCACTTAGTGTAAATAGAATCTATCGCTAAGAAAATATGCTATTTTCACAGTGTGAATAGCATCTAATTGCTTAGTGTAAATAGTATATTTTTTTGCTCTCCGCAGCTGCAGAGGAACTGCAGCGTCATTTTATTTATTTTTTTTAAACTAACTCTGAAATGTCTGGATTTGACAAATATTCCCTGACCGCTTCTATGACCATAGCCGCTTCCCTGACCGCAACCGCTTCCCTGTCCGCAACCGCTTCCCTGACTCTCTGTGGTCATTAAAAATCCCATGGCACTTCTCGTAAAGAGTAGGGGTGTGACCCCAGTGTCCTGGCCAAATTGCCGCCACTGGCCCTTGTCTATCATGGCCTCCTAATAATCCCCATCCACTTGATTGGCTCTATGACTCTCTCCTCTTCACCTGTAGCAGTGCGTGTTGAGCGCACTGGCGCAGTGGTCCTGTGGCTGCCGTCGCATAATCCAGGTGGGATGCTGCACACTGGTGGTGGTTGAGGAGAGACCCCCCACGATTGTAAAGTGCTTTGGGTGTACATAAAGCACTACATAAATGCATCATTCAAAAAAAAATAAATAAATAAGTAAAAAGATTAAAGGTTATTCCTAGCATTTGGTGCCATTTGAGTCCCCATGTTATAATGTGGTATATTTGGTGTAAAAATGTACTAATACTTTGCTAAATGTCCAGGTCTCAGGGAGATGAACTTAAAGCACTGATGCCAGAAAGCAGTTATGCGAGAAAACACCCAAATGACACCAAAAACACTTCAATCAAGCAATTGTTTTTATTTGAGGTGGGGGACAAAACCGTTCTAAACTTTGTGCAAACAGGGAAAACGTGTCATAAGAATAAAGCACTGAATTGAAAAGATCTCCAGTAAGTGTAAATACCCATGACCATTTCAATGACCACATCCCCGACCACAGCCGCTTCCCTCGCCATGATCGCGTCCCTGACCCCCTTCCCTGGCCGCGACCACGTGGTTCACTGCATGCAAAGCCACCGGTGGTTGGGCAACATTTCTGTGTGGCAGGGCACTGGCCATCATGGAAACCGCTTTCAGCACACAGTGGAATAATCTCCGGTCTGTGACATTGACCCGGCTTCACTGCGTTGACACGGATGGTCAGTTTTAGTTTGTGCATATCGACAGTATGCCACTTCAATATACAGCCAGAAACACTCAAAGCATGAATAGCAAGTTTTACCTACAGAGTGAATTATATTCCAAGTATTATTCTTCTTTATTTTGTAAAGCCATCCTGTGCTTAAAACTATCCTAAGGGATGAATGCAAACCTACTTTAGACGAGAACAACAGAAGGCAAAGTCTCTGCTTAACTTAAATTGAATTCATTGCGTTACTCGTGTAGCGAATCAGCTCATGGGGAAATATGAATAATTAATCATAACTAGTTATAATTAATTATAAATATTTAGATCCGTTGTAGATATTTACTTGACCTCTCAGGGTCAACTGTCTGTCAATTCTAAGAACGTTAATTTCCTGGTTAAGGGAAATA